AAAAACCAAAAAAAACCACCAAAACCAAACAAATTTAACCCCCCCTCAAAAAAAAAAAAAAAAAAAAAAAACAAAAAAAACCCAAAAAAACAAAAAAAAAACCAAACCCAAAAAAACCCACCAAAACCAAACAAACTTAACCCCCCACCCCCCCCCCCAAAAAAAAAAAAAAAAAAAAAAAAAAAAAAAAAAAAAACAAAAAAAAAAAAAACCCCTGAAAAATCCCATTTTGCTCCAAAGAGTTGTTTTTACTCCTGGAGAAATTAGTGACAACAATTTATAAAGCCATAAATAATTATTTTCTGGTTTATTTAGATGTTCTCCTGCAGATTCAGGGAGGCAGAGCAATGAGGAAAAATCCTTTTTTATCCCCCTCATCTTTAATTTTAAAGGCCATGTGCAAGGAGGAGCTGTCAGGCAGGGATGGGAAGCAGAGGGAGAGGGACTTTTGGGATTAAGGAATTGGCTGGAGCGGACAAGGCAGCTCTTCACGGCTTTAAATCCCATTTTATATCCCCCATTCCCACACAGGGAGAAACAAACAGAGTTTTGCTGTGATTATTCGGGGCCTTTATGGTGGTTGTAATGTTCTGTGCTGCTCACCTCGCTCCGGCCCTGCATTTTCACACTGGGGCGAGTTTCTGCTGGGAAATGAGCCCTGAAAAGAGTTTACCTGCCTCCAAATGGCTCCGGGCCCTGGGGAAATCCTCTGGAGCTGCCCCAGGGAGCGCTGGGATGGCCAGAACGGCACCCTGGGCACAGCCCTGGCTCTGGAGTGTGGCACCAGCGGGAGGAGCTGCAGAGGGGACACTGGAAAATCCAGGACTAAAATTCAGTGTTTATGTATTCAATGCCATCACATTCAGCGCTGTTAAATTCATATTCAGCCTATAAAATGTTGTTTAAAATCCGCCTCCACCATCAAAGCCAAAGGACCTTGAGGAAAACCAACGGGTTGTTTTTTTGGTTTTTTTTCCCCACTTTTCTGGCTGAGCAGCCCAGCAGGTTCAGAGCCATCCCTCGGGAAATCACTGGGTTGTTTATCCCACTTTTCAGGCCACCCTCACGTACACCCCAGCCTCTTTCCCACAAGATGAGGGTGAGATTTCCTCTCAGGACGAGAAGCTCCTGCATTAAACGGTGCTGGGTGCATCCATGCCCTAAAGCCTGACTCAAGCATTATCAAATCCTATGGGATCTGCTCCCAGCTCTTCCCGAGGAGGGGCAGATTCCCTGCTCTCCCCAGCTCTCCGGATGCCCCGGGTGCTGTCCCAGCCTCCCCGAGGTGTTTTTTCAGCAGCACAACCCAACATCCCTCTCCTCGCCAAGCCCGCGGCCCTGCCGCTCCGTGGGGGCCGGGAGGAGGGATCCATCCCGCCAGGAAAACACCGGGAATGGCTTTAGCAGCCCCAGCACGTGTGGGGTTTGTTTGCAGAGCCGGGCCGGGGCAGCTGATCCCGCCTGGATTTACACCCGGCCAAGAGCCTGAAGCGGGACCTCATCCCGAAGGAAAATATTGGGAGGGAGTTTTGTTTCTCTTTCGGAGCACTGGAGGAGCCAGGGAATATTCCCCAGGGAGAGGGACACCCCCCTGGGCTCCGTGGGCTGGGGGGCTTTTCCAGCCTCAAGGATTTCATGATTCCAGGATTCCAGGAGGGCTCCCTGTGGGAAGGACCTCCCGCTCCCACCACAGGCGGGTTCCCAGCACGAATTTCCATGCCGGTTTTCCCGGGAATGGCAGGAGGGAGAGGAAGGAGCCCGGCTCTGTCCTTTCCCTCATTCCCTGCGGGATCCCGGCTCCCCGAGCCCTTTCCAGAGGCGGCGGCTGCTCCTGCCGGCCCCTCCTGGCAGGCGGCTCCCAGATGTGCCGAGCGGGATTTGCAGGGACCAACCTTCAATCCCCCCCTCCCTCCAGCCCCGGACCCCGCCGTTAACCGGGATTCTTCCCAAAATACTCGGTGCTTTTCAGTATCAAGCCCTGGGAAGGAAAGGGGACACCGGGCACATCCAGAGGCGTGGGATGCGGCTGGAGCTGCACGGACCCACGCTCCACTCAGGGCATGGAATGAGATTCCAAAGCCACTGAAACGGTCCCCGGGCAGAAAAGCAGGAGAAAATCCAGATAAAGAGAAAAGCAGGATGGATCCGTGCGATTTATTGAGGATTTTCAACTCTCCGTGTTGCCCTCGGATCGGCAAACTTTTCCATCAGGAATTTTTTTTATTTGAAGGATCCGGGATCCCGCTCTGGTTTTCACTTTGAGAATTTCCCATCAGAGAAAGCAGAGGGTTTTTTTAGGGGGAAAAAATAAAATCAAATGGAAAAACTCCCGGGGGGTGTGGTGTGGTTTTAATCCGGGTGGGTTTGAGGAGCCTCTGGCAGGGAGGGATTTTACGGAAGAAAATCGCTTTTGACAAATATTATTGTTAATTATCGAAGCTGTGGCCTTGACAGACCTGACAGAGATGCTCAGAGGGAAGCTCTGGAGAAGGATTTTATTTTGCTGAGCTCTCACACTTTTTCCTTCAGCCACCACGAAGATTTTTTGGGATCCTCAAACTCCCTGCATTTGGGCAAAAGGGGAGAAAAAAAATCCCGTTGGAATTTTGTGATGTCTCTGACATGCAAAGCGCAGGCTGAGGCACCCAGCACTTACTGGGGGTTTTCAGAGTGTCTGATCCCACAGGATTTTCCAGTTTGGTTTGATCCCGATGGAAAAGGAGCTCCACTAACTCCTGTAAGAGCCCCAGCGTTCCTGAATCAGTAATCAATTAATAACAAATAATAAAATAATGTACATAGGATGGCAGATAACAACACAACAATAGAATATATGATTGTTATTGTGGAATAATTTAACAGCATTATTCTATTACAGAATAATATTAATTATTTTATAGTAAATAGTAGGGAATAAATACTGGTGAAAAACCCAGGACTCCCTACCTTTAACTATTCTAATCTCCAGCTGCTGCAGCAGCAGAACATCCTTGACGTTCCTATCCAATATCCTTGATATTTCCATCCGTATTCCCGATGTATCTATTTAAAAATTAGAAATTAAAAAAAAAAAGAAAAAAAAAAGAAAATAAGAAAGCTTCCAGAGCTCCCTGTGCCTCTGTATTTTTATTAAGCAAAATTAATGATGTAAAATCGCGCCTGTCACCCGATGCTCAGCCCGGCATAAAAACACCCACAAAATTCCAGCTGCTTTGGCAAAACCAGGGAAAATTAGATTTTTTAAAATATTTTTTTTCACGCCGGATCGAGTTCAGGCCGGGAAAGAGGGGCTGGAGAAGGGAAAGAGGAGCCGGAGCAGATGGAAACCATCGCGACCAGGGCAGGGCAGGGAATGGCCAGGGGGGAGCAGATTTGGGGGTGCCGTGCTGCTCCTGGAGTTCCGCAGGGAGCTGGACAGGGAGCAAATTAATTGGGATTTTCCTGCCACATCTCACCTGAGCAGCCGCGCCTTTCGTTTTCCTTCTTTTCCTCTCTTTCTTTTCCCAGTCCGTTCAATAATTTTCTGTTTTCCCTTATTTTTCCTTAGTTATTTTCCTTTATCCTAATTTTAAAAACTATTTTCATTTTGCTTTTATTTTCCCTTCCTTTTTAAATTTCCCCCATCATCTACCTCTCTTCCCTCCTTTTTTTTCCTTCTTCGTTTTCTTTTCATTTTGATTTCCCTCCATCTTCTACTTCGTTTCCTTTCTACTATTCCTTTCCCCCTTTTTTATTTTTTACATTTTCCTGTTTGCCCCATCTCCCTTTCCATCCCCGCTCTATCCAGGCGCACATTCCAGCGGGGACTGGATCCCGGTGATGTCCCCGGGAGCCCGGCAGGGCTCCGGGCACGCGGGTGGCGTGCGGGGAACCTTTTCCTGCCGGCATCTTTTCCTTGGAAATCCCCATCCCCAGGGAGCGAGGGATGCTCCAGCCCCGCAGCTCCTCCGCGCGCGGGCCGCGGGGGGGAAAAAAACCCCAAAAACCCCAAAAACCCCAAAAACCCATCCCCGGGGATGCGCAGGGCCGGCAGAGCCGCACCTGCCTTTCCCGGCCGCTTTTCCACCGCCGCTCCCCGGGGCGAGCCCGTGGCGGCGGGGCAGGCAGCGGGGCCGGCAGCACCCGCGGGACCCCCGCCCCTGGGCCGGGCCAGGCTCCCGGAGCATCGATCCTCTGCTTTTCCTTCTCCTCTCCCCGCTCGGATGCGGTGTCCCAGCTGGATGTGGTGCCCCTCGTGGACACGGGGGTGACAGGCTCTGCTTCCCCCCGAGCCCCCCGTTTCACACCCCCCAAGGGGAGGCTTTTCCACCCGCTGCTTCCCCCCGAGCCCCCCCCACCTTCCAGTCTTTCCCGGGAAACACTCACGGTCTTCCCGCCGAGCTGCCCGTGAGGGGGGATGAAAATCCCCGGGAATGCCGCGGCCGCTCGCCCCCGCGGATTCGCTCCCGGGAGGGGTTTTTTTGGGCCGAATCAGGCGGATTTCGCCCCCGGCGGGCTCCGTGTCTCCCGACATCGCCTCTGTCCCGTCCTGTCCCGCAGCCCGGCCGTGTCCCCACCCGCGGCTGCCGTCGGGGCCGGGCGGGGCAGGTGCGTGTCCCTGTCGCGCGTGGGAACCCCGCGGGGCCGGACCGGGCCGCCCGCAGCTCGGGGGGCCTGAGAGCCCCGCGGGGTCCCCGCC